ATATATATATATATATATATATATATGTGGTGGGGTGATATCACACATCTACCCCTATCTATCTCTCCTATTACCAAAGATTTGCTTTGTATTAATTCTTCTCTCTTCATTGTAATTTGTGATATTTTTTCTTACTTCTTAAACTGCTAATGTGAAAATTGTATATGGTATGATGTACGTATTAATATCAAAGGATTAAGTATGTAGTGTTTCATTCTTATTTAAAGTTGGAATATAGTTTTTCTTATCTTTTTTTTCTCCTTATGTGATTAATTAACATCATTTCTTCACATATTCTTGATTCGAATTCCAAATAACAAGAAAAGCTTGTCCTCCTAAAAAAACAAAGCTACATGTAATATTTACCAAAGAGATACCAATCAAGTACGTTAAGAGGAAACGAAAATCGACGAACCATAACTTATAGTTGCAACGTCTTAGTACAATTTCATCAAATCCCGTTTGACAATTGATTTTGGCTATTTTTTTGCAAAAAAAAATTAAAAAGATTATTTGTTCATGGAATATGACCCGATCTTGAAAAGAAATTGAAAAAAAATATATTTCAAGTTCGCAAGAAGGCTAGAACTAATTTAGAACAGTTTTTGGGTAAAAAGTTTTCTTCAATTTACAAAAGTTTAACTTTTTCTTTTCAAATAAAATGCATGTCCAAATACAATTTCAATTTCTAAAAATTAAACACAACTTAAAATTTTTTTTTTCAAGTTTCAACCAAATCAATATTCAAATGCTAGCTTCGTTTTTGATCTTTTGCCCTTCGTTTTTTCTTTTTTCACATTAGTTAGAGTGATAGATGTAGTTATTTGGTGGCTGCATACAATTAACTCACTAAGATAGTGATACACGTGCAGTGGTGGTAAATACAATTGCAGAAATCACTGACTGTTAAAAGGAAAAAAGGTTCTTACGTACGTAAGCCTAATTTAACTACAATTGGTCTATATAGACTATACAGTACTCCCTCCGTTTCAATGAAATTATTTTCTTTGTAATTCGTGCAAAAAAAAAATGACCTCTTTCCTTATTTGAAAATAATTTATCTTTATGTAATGATTTATAGCCACATAAAATATATGTGTTTTATTCTACATCACAAGTTCAAAAGTATTCTCTCTTTTCTTAAACTCAGTATCCAGTCAAATGAGTTCAAATAAATTAAAACGGAGGGAGTAATAAATTGGCCATCTTTTTATTATATAACCAAGAGTAAGTAAGTAGCTAGCCAGTAGCTAAAAGATATAGCGACAGGGAAAAACCTCAGGCCTGAGGCATCTAAAGAAATCTGAAGGACATTGAAGTTTTTTATATATATATATATATATATATATATATATAGTTGCACACGTACATTAACCTGCTCCTCTGCACCTCACCCTACTACTATTCCCTAGGGTCTCAGTCTCACCCTCTAGTATAGCTACAGAATATCCATAGGTTCCTTAAAAACTTTCTTTCTCTTTTTCCTTTCTGTATTTTTGTTTTTTTTGACAGAACAAATTTATAAGCTTTATTTTTACCTCTGCAGAGAAGAGAAGAGAAGTGCTGATGCTGCAAATGCTTATATGGTCTCACGTGCTACTCTGGAAAAAATAGATGAATTTTTCCCAGTAATAACAGGGATCTTTAAATTCTAGCTTTTACATTCTGCGTTCTTTACTACTCCCGGTTCACTTTTACTTGTCTAGTATTCTAAAAATCGATTTTCACTTTTACTTGTCACTTTTAACATATCAAGAGAAGATAATTTCTTTTTTCCTGTTATACACAGTATCAATAAAAATTATGTACAAAAATTGTGTATGAAATAATAACCGGGGCAAAATACAAATAACTGGAAAAGAGGTAAAAAATATATATTCTATATAGAGAGTTTGAATGAAAGGAGAGGAGGGATGGATGAAGAATAATAGACCAAAGTTATGTGGAGGAGAAGATTTACTTCAGTATTTATAGTAACCAATTCCATTAGTAACTTACATTGAGTGTAATGGGAATAAATAATAACGTATAATTGTTATTGAATTAGTGTTAGTGTATTAATTAGTAATAAATGTAAATAGGATCATAATAAACAATTTGGAACGGCAATTGAAACGGCACTCTTTATTCCCTTTCATCATGTATTGTTGAGTTTCAATTAAACCTTAAATTGTTTTAATGCAATAATTGGTTATTGTATAAAAAAAAGAGGGAAAATCCAAAAAATTGAGATAATAGATAAATAGGATCCTTGGCCATAGAGATATGTCATGTCAACATTTATTTCCCATATATATATATATATATATATATTCCTTTGTTGTTTTCCTCGCAAGCATAATTTATTTTCATTAAATGACTACTAAGAAGTTGGAATTAGCTAGGCTTTATGATGAAAATACCTTTGGTCTAACTAACTAAGATATTACTTCCCCCTTTCAGTTTTATTTGTTCACTTTCTGATTTTGCACTCCCTTTAAGAAACAATAAATAAAATATATATTTTACAGCAATTTTATTCATAATAATGATAACGTTTCAAAAAGACTTATGAAATAATTTGAGGAATTAGCAAGGCCGACTCTGACGTTACAAGAGGTAAGGCTTATGCCTTAGGCGCTCATTTTTTTTTGGGGGGGGGGGGGGGGATTTTCTAAAAATAACAGGTTTGTAAGTATTTAAAAAATAATATTTAGTAATTTTAATACAAAGGTAGAGTTTTTAACATAAAAGGAAATAAAGCTCTTTATATATATAAAGTAATAGTTTTGACTTGCTTAAAAATGGGTAGACGAATAGTTTTTCCATTTCAATTTTTTAGTTTTTACTCCATCATTAGATAACGTGTAAAATTTTTACTCTCCCTTTCTTAATTTGTTCAAGTCAATCTTTCTTTTTCCAAATCTCATCATATTTCAAAAACCCTACATATTTTTTGTCTTTCTCTTTTATATTCTTACTCACATTCTTTCTCCAAAATTTTATTAGTTTAAGTGTTCAACAATACTTTTAAGCTACCAATGGTTCTATACTTCTATTGCTCTATAATATCTTATCTAAAATCAACAATATCTCAAGAAAGACTAAATGAGTTGGCTATAATATCAATTGAAAATGAATTATTAGAAAAAAACGATTATAAAAAGAGTATTAACAACTTTATATCTTAAAAAGTTAGAAGAATAGATTTCAAATAAAAATATATCTTATAACTTTCTTTTAAAAATTTAGGCCTCATATTAAATTTTGGCTTTAGGCCCCGCATGTGCTTGAGCCGCCCATGAAAATTAGTAGTTAATGATAAAGGTAAAACAAGAAAAAAAGATATTATTTTTCTCTTGATTTGTTAAAATTAACAAATAAAAATAAAAATAATATTTTTTTGTATAGTAACGAGTGAAAGTGAACTGATGGAATAATTTCTTTATGTCCAAAGTGAGAAGGTGATATTGTTATCTGATTTTAGATCCAATATTGCACGTTAGTACTTATATTTCGTAAACGAAATTCACTAGTATTAACTTTAAACAGTAGTTCGTATCTAGATTAGCATTTAACTACCTTACTTTTGAATGTGTGTCAAATAACTTCCTGAGCTTCGAAGGTACATAATATATACCAATAAGTGAAACCTATGTTTTGTCGAAAATATTACTGAGTGCATGTCGAAACCTTCAAAAGTAGTGTATTCTTAAAAAAATCCGACACAAATGGGAAAGTATTTTGGACGGTCCATGTAATATGGAGTGAAACCTTTTGAATATTTTGAAGTAAGTAATTTGAACTCTTTTTTTTTTTAAAAAAAAAACTTTTATTGCATGACATGTGAAATAAGAAAAGAGTGCATGCATCAGAGATCCAGTTAACATTAAGCTTTTTAAACGTTATGTTTCCTCCCTTCTATAGCTAAAATATAATGTACCTTTCGAAGATTAAAATGTTGGGCAAGGCTCAAATCTACGAGTTATAAATGCTACATTTAGGGGTCGTTTGGTTTGAACACAGGTTATGTTGGGATAAGTTATGATGAGATTAGTTATCTTGGTATTGTTTTTATCCACTGTTTGGTATATTGCATTAAAAATGACATGATTGCATAATTTCTAAGAAGAAGTTATTTGTTTACAAAAATACCTTCCATCTTATTTAGCCTCGATCTTCTTGCTCATTTATCTAGTTGACACGTCAATTTCTAATTCTTACATCAACAAGTATTAAATAATTTTTTTAGGCTCTAATTTTCAATTCTTTGAAATATATTTTCTGATTTCTTCTTCTAAATCTTCTTGCTGATATCGAACAATAGTTGATGATCCATAAGAAAATCTAATTTTGCCATAATAAAAATGAAAAGAATTAATATACAAAAAATTTCAATTAGAAAAAGGAGCCTATGAGCAAAAGTTTATAATTTTCAAGCACATAAAGAGAAACAAATGAACCCAACGAATATTTAGAAAGAGGACTTTAGGACTATTTTTGTGAATTTTACTATTTTGTCCTAGGATAATAAGCCCAACACTAATTATCCCACCCCCTACAAGGTATAAGTT